CCGCGTCCGCGACGTGCGGAGGGGACGGAGGCTCCCTCAGAGGCGCGGCGTCGGCCCAGGCCTCGATCAGGGCCGGCCCCTCCGTCTGCATGACCCGCATGTAATAGTCTGCCGGCGAGTCGTACGTGGGCACGCGGAAACCCCTGGCCGCGAAGTAGGGCATCACGTTGGGAACGGACCCTGCGTAAGCCAGACTACCTTTGACTAGAAAGCAAAGTTTTGAGAAAGAGCTGAAAATCTTGAAAGAGGGCTGGTGAATGGAACACATGACGACCCGGCCGGGCTTTGCGAGGGCCTTCAGCAACGCACAAATGTCCTCCGCAGTCTTGCTGTCCAAGCCGCTGGTTGGTTCATCCAGGAGGAGGACACTGGGAGGGGGAAGGGAAGGGAACGGGGGGGGGGCAGGGCGTTTGAGAAGGCAGAGAGGGGTCCCAAGCCAACGGTTAAAGGTCGGACGGACAGGAAGGCGGGCAAGGCGAGGTGGGCACTAGCAGAGGAGGTCGGCGAACCGGGACCTTAGGCACCTACCTCGGGTTCACCAAAAGCTCCAAGCCTACCGAGACCCGGCGCCGCTGCCCGCCCGAGATGTCCTTCACCAGGACATCCTGACACTCCATGATCCCCAGATCCTCCAAAACGTCCCTCACCACTTCCTCCTTCTCCTCCGCGGGCCGGTCGTGCGGGAGGCGGAGCTGGGTGGAGAAACGCATCGTCTCGCGGACGGTGAAACTCCCGAGCAAGACGTCCTCCTGGGGCACGAGGGAACACAGATACCGCCAGGCCCGATGAATCGCCTTGACCGGCGTCCCGTTCGCCAGCACCTGCCCCTGAAGCCTCCGCAAATACCGGTGATCGCCCTGGACGAGGCGGAGGAGGGTAGACTTGCCGCTCCCCGAGGGGCCCATGACCGCCACCAAGTGTCCGGGCTGGAAGCAGGCGTTCACGTCTCGAAGGATGGGGGCTTGTCTGGGACGCGCCTGCGCCGTCGAGTAGCCTACGTTGACCAAATCCACGCGCACGGGGAGTATGGGAGACCTGGGGGCATGGGCCTCCGCTTCCAGGCTGGCACCGCAGTTTGGACCCTGGTCGAGGTCGTCCAGTGACAAGGAGGAGGCGGAGGAGGAGCAGGAGGAGGAGCAGTAGGCAGGAGTGTTGCTGGTGAGGGGTACCATCTCGGAGACATTCTGTCGTCGTCGCTGCGGCTCTTGCTGGGACTGTTGGTGTTGCTGATGTTGTTGTTGCCGGTGAAGCGATCGCTGCTGGCTTGCTATTGACTCCGGAAGCGATGCGTGTTCCATGTGCACTTGGTGCACTATCGCACCGCGCTCCAAATGCTGCTGCACGTTGACGTCGCATACGCAGGCAGCAGGCCGCTCGCGTAGACTCACATCAATGCCAATTTGCTCGGAGGGAGGCCGGGACGGGGGGAAATGAGAATGGATCCCGGCGGTTCCAAGGCTTCCCGGGGTCGGAACACTCATGGTGGGGCTGCTACTCTCGCTCCTGACCGTGGCCGGTGTAGAGGGAGGGCATGCGGAGAGAGCTCGGGCCGAAGAGGCGGTCCAGGCCATGGCGGCCTCGGTCCTGTCGGGAGACTGAGAGGGTGCTGCACCGGCTGACCACCCCATCGCCGAGGATCGGAGCTAAATTCAAGACCACGCGTGGTCACGTAGAAAGAAGAGACGACTTCCACAACGTGCCGGTATGTAATGCCGTACTGAGGAAGACGTAGGGTCCTGTCGGCGGGCAGTAATGCCTCCTCGAGGACTCCTTCTTCCCTCCAGCTGTGGCGAGAGGCCTAAACTGTCAAATGTGATAAGTGACAGGGGGATAGAAATGGAAAGGTAGTTGGACAAAGGAGAATAAATTTACGCCGTGGTCACATCTTGATGTCCGGTACGTGTAAATCAATTGTCATCTGGAAGATGTGACACGAATCGATCGCAGAGCTCTAAATTTTCGATTGATCCGAGACACCATAGCTATGACGAAAAAGGTGGGGGGGTCGCCTCGGGAAGTGATAATTCGTGTCGCAGTTCAGAATAGTGGTCGGAGACAAAATTAACCATCGTCATTGTGGGAGGCACCAAAACACAGCTCTCCCTTCCAGTTTCCCCCAAAATGCCAGTGCACGAAGAGGGAGGCGTGGCGCACGATCCCTGCGGAGGAAATCCGGCGGGCGGGTGTCTGCGCTCCTGTGGTTGGACATGCAATATGCGGTCAGCAAACACGATCCAGCGACCTCCCCCCTCCATGACGTCATAACGTCATGGCCCATGGGCGCGCCCCGGGCAAACGGGCCCGTGGACGGCCTGACCGGGGACTCTGCCGCCTGATACGTGTGTTACCGTATGAGGATGCACTACAATTGGATTTTGGTTCAGGTTTAGATGCTTTGGTGGTTGGTTGTCGATCCAAGCGGCAAAGCCCGGAAGAAAGCAGACGAGAAGAGAAATATGATGAAAAAGGCACCCTCTCAGCCCCGACCGACTTTGACTATCCTACCCTAGTCTGTGCGAAATACTGATTTGCTTACGCGTCATGAACAGGCCTGAAATCAACCGAAATCGAGATACTGTTTTATACAACGCGTACAACGCGTCAGGCTATTCCTGTGACGAAGGGTAGCCTCCCTCTGACAACGTTTGTTTTGGGGAAAGTCGCGCCCATCGTCATCAACTGTACGCCCCCAGGAACGGGGCAGGAACAAATTTTAGACCATGGCGGCCCCCAGTATAGCATCATCGCTCCATAAAGAGCCTGAGCTCCTGCGACAAGAAGCAACACGTGTGCAGCAGACGCTTGAGGCACTATATCGCAGCCATTACACGACAATTATTGAGAATTACGAATGTATGACCTTTATTCAGGAACGAGGAACGGAATTTCAAGCGGACTTGACTGCTCTGCAGGAGGAAGTAGGAGGTCTGAAAGAGGCGTGTGGCCCATTTACTGCAGGCGCACAAGCCATCGTTGGGGATTTGAAAAGAAATCGACAGACTTTCCAGCATCACTTGCAGCTGGTGGAGCTGCTCGAAGTCCCGCAAGTCATGGACGCCTGTCTTCGAAATGGGCTGTATGACGAGGCGGTGGAAGTCGTCGCATTCGCTAACACACTAGAGCGTCGGCACTTGCGATCTCTGGAGCAGGCCGACCCCTACTCCAACAGTAAAAGCAGAAGCATGTTCGACGAGGGGGGACGAGGTAAGCACACCGTCGTCATCGCGGGCCTGGTGCAGGAACTGCGCGTCCTTCAAAGACAGTTGAGGGAAAGGCTTGTCTATCAGCTTCGGCTGCCTATCCAGCTACCACGGTGTCTGCAGATCATCTCCTGTCTGCGGAAACTGGACGGCCTGGCTCTTGACGCCCGTTCCCAGGGGCCGCGGAAAAGGCAGCTCTCCCTCTCTGCTGCTCCGGCGACGGTCAATCGCGGTCGGATCGGGGCCGCACACGATGTAAGCGGGCATGATGAGTTGGAGAAAGAGTTGCAGACCGAGTTTCTGGACGCCCGGGATGCCTGGCTCCAGTCTGAGTTGGAGCAGGGCAGGAGCGGCGCGTCCGGCGCCCGCGGGCACGGGGTCGGGGTCGCGGATCTGATGGCCATGATCGAGGCGAACAGGACGCATTGGTTTGAGATCACCACCCAGTTCCGCGCCATCTTCTTGGACGACGGGTTGGAGGCTTCCGGCTCGTCCTCGTCCACGCACTCGTCCTCCACCTCCCTCCTTCGCGGGCAGGACGGTGCCGGGGGGAGCAAGGTCCTCTCCGCCTGGTTGCTCCGGCGTCTGGCCCTCTTCCTCGGCGAGTTGGAGGATAAGCTGGCGCACGTGACGGAAGGGGCCGTGCTCGCGGACGTGATGGAGCAATGCCTGTTCTTCGCCGCCAGTATGGGCCGAATCGGAGGAGATTTCCGGGCCTCACTGGGTCCCGTTTTCTCGCAGGCTATCCTGGCCATGGCCGACGCGCACTGGAGCGCGTCGAGGGTGGAATTGGAGGCGCTGTTGGAGCGTTGTGCGCGGGAAGGCACCATGCTTCGGGCACAACCTCGCCCACACAGGCAGTCCGGCAGCGGGTCGCACCCCTACCCCATGTGCTATTACGCCCCAGGAAGCACCGGACCCAACCAACACGATGGCAGGGACACGGCCCATCACAGTGCCCAGCCGGATCCTGACACGAGCACCTCCGAAAGCGACTTTCCCGCGCCTCCTTCCTCCATCCTTGCCTTCCCCCCCCTCGCCCAGTTCACGAACCTGGTGTTGGTTTCCTATAACCAGCTTCGGCAATGCACGCCCTGGTCCCTGGTCGATGACTTGCAAGCCTTGCTCGTGACCCGACTGCGCGAGGTCGCGGGTCTTCTGGTGAAGCACGAGGAACAGTTGCAGCAATTGATTCGGGAGCACGACGAAGAGGCGCAGGCCCCTCTTTCAGCCGTGACTGGTCAATACCGAGACCTCAGGAGGGAGGCACGCGACGTGGTGTTCCCCTACGTGATCAGGTGCTTCGGGCGTATGGTGACAGGGGGAGGGGGAGGAGGAGTGGGCAAGATGACACGAGAAGGGCGCCAAATAGAGGAGCTGGACACAGAGATGCGGAAGGTCTGGAGCGCGCAGTCCCCAGAACCCTGCTGAGCACGCGGACCGCGGCCATAGGCCCGAGTCACGATGCCAGTAGGCTTCAAGACCACCTTGACGCGATTGCGTGTGGACACGTTGGATTGAACGCATTGGATGGAAAGGTGGTCGAGGAGGTGAAAATCTTTGTCGGACAAGATGTCTCATCGATTGAGCAATGGTCAAATCCGTTCACCGCAAAAGTAAAATTCCTGCACCATGTAGCTTTGCTTGCTCAGTTTTTACCGGCGCTCTTCCGCAACTTAAGCAGGCCTAAGGGTTTAATCTTTCTCCTTTTCGTGTAAACTGCCTTTCATACATTTATTACATAGGCGTCGGCGTCCCCTCTCTCGCTCAACATAGACTTGACTCCTCTTTCCTCTCTTGACCCAGCTCCTCCACAACATCATCGCACATTTCGACTTCGCAAGTCCGTCTTTCCCGGGGGACTTATTGAACGATAAGCAGACTTGTGTGCCAGCTCTTTGATCACGCAAAAGTTCGTCATGACCGTGGAGACCGCCGACACCAGAAAGAACCACCACGAGAAGCCAAAATGGATTTTACTCCTGCCCGAGGTCAAGTCCTGTGCGCGCAGCTCGTCTTGCACAGAAGACCAAACGACCAGCATCAGGATGGCGCAGATGAGGTGGGAAGTAGTGAGCGCCATGCATGCGTACTCGGCCGAGAAACCTGCTCGGTAGGCTGTGCGACATTCCACGATCAGCATGCCCAGGACGGCGGCGACCTCCAAGGCGACAGTAGCCACCGCCAATGCCCGAGCAAGGACAAGGAGGTGGCACTGGTCCGTCGTGTCGTCGCGATTGCACCAGTTGTAATCAAAAGAAAGGCGAACAGTCGACGAGGCCGAAGTCATGACCGAGCTCCACTGCCACAGGCCCCAGAAGTCATCGATGAGAACCTCACTCCTGCAGTATGTCAAAGCAGTCGAGTGCATTAGTGGAGAAATACTCAGACCAAATGTAGTACATGTGAAAGTGGGGCGGCAGGAGGGTTTATGACATGGCAGTGTTTACCCGACGCACGTACCAGAGTGTAGTGTGGGTGGTCAGTCGGCTCCAATCCCGAGAAAATACAGCTACAACCAGCAAAGCCGTGCTCAACATGGGAATCAAAAGCGCTAGGTAACATGTTGCGGGCCAGGATGTCAATGAAGATACGTAAAGAGTCGAGGGATATGGACATTCGTTTTCCATCCAGGTTGGACAGTCTACCGAAAAGCGCATTTAACACACTCACCGCACTCCCTCCACATTTGCCACCCTTGAGTGTCGCCGTAGTACAAAGCAGCGGGCATCTGGTTTGGTCGTTATGAATAAGTAAGCATAGCTTCGTACGGTCTTGCCGTGTCGAGGTTAAAGGAACGGATAAACAACCGAGACCAAGCGAAGAGCGATATGCGTGCTTAAGGAAAGGCAATACCGCGATAGCCCCGTCTTGAGCAATTCATCAAAAACTGAGTCCAAACAACACAGATCGCAATCCGCATGCAACATTGTCGAGGCAATAGTAATGGCAAGAAAAGAGGAGGATACTAGCGCGAGACGAACGACGCAAGATTTCAGTCTCCCTCTTCTCGTACTGCTACTCAGCCGGCTCCCCCTCGCGTGCACGTTTAGCACTCCCACAAGCAGCAGCGCCATCGGCATAAATCATGGCGATGTGCTAAAAACTCTAAATAATGCCGCCACTATCCCCCTGATCGATCGAGTCCCGACTTTTCGGTTTTATCAAGGTGGTGTGTGCCAACTGCAGCTATCAGGGCGAGGCGGCTTAGCCGAGTGCCGGGCCCGCCTGCATGTGGCGATCTCTACCCTGCTTAACAACAAAACATCGTCCAAACAAACGGAACGTGAAGAAATTCACCATGAAGAGAACGGAGTCTCTCAAAGATGTTTAGTGGCTGATATCGTGGAAATCGAGTCACTTGAGATGTTGGAGGGTATGCTTGAAAAGCAGCGAGTGCAGCAAAGTAGTACGGCGCAGAGTGTTTCATGTGGTAGCAATTTGAATGATGACGTGTTACTAGTCAAGTTCTATGGCAGATCTTGCAAGCAGTGCGTGGAACTCGGGCCTTTGTATGATACGCTGCCCTTCGTCTACAGGGACAAGAGCCTGAGATTCGGACGAGCAGACGTCACAAACTTTCCCACACTTGTTGTTCCTCCACCACCACCCCAAAATTTTGCCAGTTTGGATCGAAGTCAAAACATTGAAGATCGTCTGGAGGGCTGCCCGCGCTGTGGGGGCGGGGGCTTCGTCGTTTGTACAGAATGTAATGGACAGGGACACCTGATACGAAGTGTAGACGGGCACACGGTTGCAGACGTGTGTATGACCTGCGTAGGTCAAAGAAAAATCCCCTGTCAACAGTGCGGCGGGAAATGTTACTTGTGCTGATGTACAGACAGACAATGGCATTGCGAATACGTGGAGAAATATAGAAAAGCAGTATACGTAATGGAGAGATCACAAGAATTTGTACTCGTTATCACCCATAAAATCACGCACGTTTGTAAGGTTGGGCGTAAACATTAGGAATACTACTAAGACGATTCTTCATGCTATCTCTGCTGTCTTGTCGAGCTTAAAATACTATATTACTAATATGTACGATCTATCATCACTGTAAGAATATCGTCTGTATTTTCAACTATATATCCTCTTCGTAAGATACAAGAAAGCACCAGTATCGTTTTGAATCCCTACAAGACCTGTAGCTTGATCAAAATTCAGTGTTGTCGCCAGAATTTCTACAACCGCAAATTAGCCTTCGTTTTTCTTGGTGGTGATGTATGTGTCCGTAGCAACATTCCCTGCAATGCAAGCCAACTCTTCTTTTATCATGTGCGCTGATTATGAGACTGACGATGCCTATTTAAAGTACCTTGACAATTTAAAATTTTCCATCAAACTATTTTCCAACAGTTCTTCCGAAAAAGGACTCATAAACTTCTTTTAAAGAAAAGAAAAAGTCCGTTGGGCTGTCGTCATGCTTCCCCAAGTAACGGCTCGGTTGGGGGGGCAAACGTGCGACCGTTTTGATTTGAGGTTGCAGCTGTATGCTATTTGACTCCCCGACGATATTTCATCTTCTGTCCTACGTTCATCTTTGTCATAACAACAACGTCAAGATCCACTTTGTCTTGATGACTAAGTCTTCATGTTGCCTATTCTGTCTCCGACTCGCCTCTCACAACGCCATGTGACCGGGCCCATTCCACCTCGACGTGCGCTCTATCTTATGTTCATTTCATGCTTTCTCAAAACACACGCAATAGAACCAATGACGAGTAACACGCTGTAATAAACTTTGCTCCCAATAAGTTTGTTCACGATGACCTCTGAACAGCAGCTGCCTTCATTCGTTCATTCGCGATATATTTTAGTGGACAACGACAGACTAATAAGCCGCAGTGAGGAAAATCACGGGGAAGCAAGTTCTCTTGAGTGCACGCAAGATGAATATCAAAGCTTGGTTGGAAACTTGTCAACATATGTGAAAGAGTATCTTAAAGCTCGTTTTAACCTCGTCCAGCAATGGATTCCACCTCCTTGTGACGATGGCACGGCGGCCAGGTGTGACATATTGGTCTCGGCCGAGTGGCAGACGGCCGCAAAGCTTTTGATCATTTTGCAAAACAATGTAGGCTCTCAGCTGGGAATATGGAGTCGTTCCACATGCGTGAGCAAAGGTCTCAGGGCAGGTTCCATGCTTTCATTCTTGGAGAAGGCGTACGAAGCAGGGTACGCTGTCGTCATCTGCAATCCGAACCTCAATTCAGTCACGGTGGACGGGGGGAAAGTGGCAATTCCCGGTTCATCGTTTCCTGAAGAACATGCTTTATATGTCTATGAGAACTATGTGGCTTCTTCCAAAGCACAGCATGTATTCTTGTTTGGATACGGTAACGGGGCGATGCTGTGCAAAGAGATGCTTCAACGCCAGCTTGTGAGGTGTCAGCAGCAAAGTGGAGAAGTAAATCGTATCGCCGGTATTGCTACGGTAGAGGCCAGTCAAATCTTACAAGAGGATGATTCGACGGACGTGAAAGCATTTCTGGGTGCATACGCAGTGGATTGGGAGTCCTCGCTCCGACTACCGCCCGGCCATGCCATCCCGAAGACCCGATTACGCTTAGGCGTGGCACAGGTGCTCTCTGTGGGCACTCCAGCAACACATGGGGACGCCGTGGCAGCCAGCACAGTCTGGAGTGTTGTGGCAGCCTTGGACTCCGTTTTCCGTTTCTTCCAATTTTGCCTGGAGGACGCCCTCCAGCATCCTCAACCTCCCAATCTACCCTCTCCCTCAACACCTGCATCGAAGCCTACGATTGTCCACAACTCTAGCGACTCTCCAAAAGGCCGTCTTTTCATTCCCTTTATTCCTCGCGTCAGCAAATCTGGTAGGTCTAGCAATACGTGCGGCAGTGTCCGCGTCTCGGTGCCTGTGAGCAACAGAGGCCACCTCTTCGCCGTAGCCGAAGCAGCTTATTGTGGCGTTCCCGTACCCCAACCACCAAACGATCGGTCCTCAGCTGGCCAGTTGGCGGATTCTGTGGCACCCACCAGCCTCTCGTCTCCAACCCGTGCACGAGAGGATGATCATCGTCTAGCAAGCAGCACTTTTCTCCGTCGGCTCCGGCGGATGGTTTCCAGTGGCTTGAGTTTCAATCGGACATCCTCGTCCGAGCGCGGTGCCCCCTTGTCACCTGGGGGCATGGATTTAGAGAGGGCCTTGAGCAGCGACGGTGGTGATTGTCGGACTTTTGCTCTGACAGAGAGGCTTGGGATTGGAGACTTCGACCTGCTCAAGGTTGTGGGAAAGGGGGCTTTCGGAAAAGTCATGCTGGTGAAGAAGAAGAGCCGAGAGCATGGCGCGGGCAGAATCTACGCCATGAAAGTGTTAAACAAGGACACTATAGTCAAAAAGGGACAAATTGAGCACACAATGTCAGAGCGAGCCATTCTCTGTCAGATTCGTCACCCGTTTATTGTCCGTCTCCGATATGCCTTCCAGAACCAAACGAGTTTGTACCTGGTCACAGACTACTACACAGGGGGGTCACTTTTCTACCATTTACGGAAAAATGGATCCTTTGCTGCATCTCGCGCCAAATTTTACGCTGCAGAGCTTTTGCTGGCACTCGAACACCTACACGAGCAGTTCATTATTTACAGGGACCTGAAGCTCGAGAACATTTTGATGGACTCAGAGGGCCATATAGCCTTGACTGATTTCGGTCTCTCGAAACAAAATGTCCGAAGTCAAGCCTGTGCAACGACATTCTGCGGCACAGCTGAGTATTTGGCTCCAGAATTGCTGCGAGGGAAGCCTTACGGGGCACCGGTAGATTGGTGGAGTTTTGGCATTCTACTGTATGAAATGATGGACGGTCGGACTCCATTTTACAACAGCAACAGGAAATATATGTTCCATTGCATCGTTCACGTAAGGCCAACATTTCCGGCACACTTCTCAAAGGCGGCAAAGTCATTGATATTTGGGCTTCTGGAGCCAAATCCCGCCCGGCGCCCTGGGCCAGCTCGCATCAAATCACACGCCTTTTTCGCTGATATTGACTTTGAAAGGCTTTATCAGAAGAAAATTACACCCCCTTTTAACCCGCGCGTCAAAAATGCAATGGACACCAAATTTGTGCCCAGCAACTACCATAAGCTTCCGCCCAAGGAATCTGTGACAGAGCCTACGGGCGCTGGGGTGTGCGCTGCGGCGGATTTTAAAGCTTTTACTTACCACGGAGAAGGTCATCTGGGCTAGATTGAACCCTGAACATTTAGTGTCTCTTGCAGTATGGAAATTTTCGCCAAATTAATTCAAAGATCCATAGAAGACGGTGCATGTTGCGAATTTGCCTTGCTTAGGAGGGCCTGCGGGTTGGTTGGCCGGGAGGTTAGCCGTTACTTCGTTGCCCGAATTTTTGAATTTCTTTCCTGAGAGCAGTTAAGGTGAAGGCGGGCGATGGACAATCACATCAATCAAACCCGACCGCCCCGGTGCCTCCGTGAGGCGGGCATCCGGGATGTGATAGGTGACATTTTCCATGTGGCAGGCATGATTTTCTGCTGTTCCGACGCCGAAAGAGTCTGTCACCCTATCACCTTGTTGCCTGTAGAGACCACTTCGTCCTCGGCCCATCACCTTTATCATAATCCGTGATACCTGCGCCCTCATACCCACATTCTCGCAATCTATGTTAGGAGGGCAAATCTGGCAATACTGGGATTATTTCCTATTTAATATATTTTTCATGTGGCCAAGCCATGGAGCTGGACACTCCGAAGTTCCCATTCGCGGTGGCTCTTCGAGACATGCAGTCACGGAGGGCCTGACACCTGGCCTAGAGAGTGAAGGGGATGACTGCATATCATCCTTACCTGTCTCCAGTGATGGACCGAGCACTCCGAATGGTTCTCACAGCGACGCAACCAATAGCAACACTTCTCCCTCACATGCCCCGGGACGACCATGGACACTACCTGCCGTCGATGGCCGAGCTCCCCGTCGCCGCGCTATGCCGGCCTCCCCCTCCCAAGCTCCTCCCCGCGTGATGGTTCATCCTTTCGGCGTTTTCCCTCCACAGGAAGATTCTGCTGAGGTCTGGGCCATCCGTCCCCGAGCAGGGAGTGGGAGGACGTCCCTAGGTCGGCGGCGTCGGTATGATTCGTACGTGAGTACGTTGGACCTGGACGACTTAAGAGAGCTCGATGACGAGCTCTTGCGCCGAGCAATTGGCGGGGAAGGCGATATCCCCGAGGAGGAAAATAAAAATGGAGAAGATGAAAGTCTCGGAACTCCCAGAAGGGCGGGCACCGGAACAGAGTCGGTACACTCGTGTCCACGGCGGGAGCGGAGGGAGGAGGACGGTGTGGAGAATGCTCGGTCAAGCAGTCAAAGGGGTAGCACAGGGTCGCACCATCGGCGGGAACTACTTTGTGATGAGATTAGCGGGCCTCAGGAGCGGAGAAGCCACCGTCAGGGCTTGGGGCGTCGTGCTCATGTAGACTTGGCGGGTGCACGACCCTGTCGCGGGATTGACCATAATGCTGATGATAGCAGAGACTGCCGCACGCGCCACAGCATGCCGCATTTTCAACAGCAGCCGAATATACAAGCACAATCAGGACATCAACAACGGATGCCCGGCGTAAATCCCAATCGATTGAGCGTATCTCAACATCACTCTCCCTTCCGACCCCACCGGGACAGCATCAGTCGCGGTGCGCCTCCCCCGAACCCGACATTTTACGACCCGAAAATGGGCGCCCTCCCGCCCGCAGCGCCGAATGACAACGAGCTGTACGAGGAAGGTGCAAGGACGCCGCCAGCGTCTTATCGGTACTCGTCCTCCCGTCCTGCCCTGGAGGGTGGAATTCCACAATTGCCCTGTGTGCAAGGAAGCACTAGCAACTCGCGCCACTCCCGCCGTTCGTCCTTGCGGCAGACCAATGATGCAGCGGATGGGTACGGTGCGAGCTCGTACAGGAATAGTCGTCGTGACAGCCGCATGAGCTTCGGCATAGGCTGGTTGTACGACCACGAGGGTAGAAAGGAGGGAGACGGAGAAAGGGGAGGAGGGGGCAACGAGGGGAGTAGGCCGCCCTCTGCTTCTGGCCGTCGACCCAACAAGCGCACCCTCCTCCATTGGTTGGACCAGCGGCTTCCACGTATGTCTGACGAGCACCGCATCGCCCGCGCGTCCTTGTACTTAAGTGACGCCATCGACACTCGGCCTGTGCGCATGCGGAACGGGGGCACTGGAAACTTATTCGCCTACCGCCTCTCCAAACGCACCGGCTGGTTGTGGATAATGCAAATCCTTGCCGTCGTCCATTTGCTTCTGGCCCTGTGGGAGCCTCCCCGGGCGTTGGCCGACTCGGCGCAATACCATGACTCTATCTCCAGGCACACGCTTACAATGGCGGCGTCCACTGCCAGGCATCTTCTCGGTCTGGAACTGGTTCTTGTCCTTCTCTTCTCCTTGGACTTGTGTTTAGAGATCTATGCCTTGGGCGTGGGGGCCTTCTTTGGGATGAACGCCCCTCCGCGTGTATTGGAGAACACTGGAAGTCGCAGTGGATTACAAGCCAAGCTATGGGGTCAATTCCGTTTGTTCTTGGTCATCCTCTTCTTCGCGGATATCTGCGCGGCATTGGACAGTCACAACGAGAGCCCTCGCTTTTCCCGGCCCTTGCGCCCTCTCTACCTCATCTGTCTCTCCGAGACACTGAAACGCTGGAGCAGCCTTCTTCTTCGGCTTTTGGGCCAGCTACGGGATGTCGCCCTGGGCACAGGTATTTTCCTTGGACTTTTCTCACTACTCGGCCTCATCCTCTTCAGCGAAACTGGTTATTATGCGGCCTCCATTCCTTATCTGAATTTTGACGATTTTTTGAACTCCTTCCTGGCGCTCTACGTGCTCATGACCACGCAAAATTTCGGTGCCCTGCTGAACCCCGCCTACACTGCCAACCCTCAAGGGTCTTCGCCCCTATACTTCTTTTTCTTCATGGCTTTCGTCCTCATCGTCGTTCTCTTCCTCGCCCACTTAGCTTTGCCTCGGGTCTTCTGGGTGTACCAGAATTTCCAACGCCGACAAGCCTACGAGAGTCGGATCCTGGAGCGCCTCGCCATTTTGATGACGTTTCGGTGTCTGGACCCGCAGCGACGCGGGTGGATCGATGTCACTTCCTTCCGCTCCATGCTCCGCTACGTCCGCCCTGACTTCTTCGACCTTCAGACAGGCTACGAAAAGGACGCATTCGCAGGGGCCACGGAGCACATGTTTGAGGAACTCGCCCGTTCCCACCCTGGACGTGTGTATCCTCGCGAATTTTTGTCCGTGTGCGAGGTCATCTTGACCGATTACTACCCATGCGTCCCTACCTTGGACCGGCCTGGCATGTCTGCGTCCGAATGGCACCAACGAGAGCGGGCGCGCTTTCGCGCAATTTTGGGCTCTCGCTGGGTCGAAGTGGGCTCCATGGCCCTGCTTATCCTCACCTGCTTCTTCCTTACATTCTACGGAAGCCCATCCATCTCCAAACTTTCCCTCCGACGTTTTTCTTATTCCATTGTGGTACTCTTCACGCTGGAACTTGTGCTCAAGATCTGGGCGTACGGTCCCAAGTTGTTCGTGTCCCTGCCTGCCAATGTCCTCGACCTCCTCATCGTGGGCGCCTCCTTCATCTCACTCCTTGTCCACGCGTTGGCCCCACCACACTCACCCCTCCACCAGTCCGAGCAAATTGCCAACCTATGTCTCCTCTTCCTTGTCCTACGGGTCGTCCGCCTTTTCCCCAATTGCACCATTTTTCGGAAGTTCTCCAGTGCCTTCCGAGTGCTCCCCTTCTTCCTCTCGTCCTTCTCCCTCTGCGTGCTCATTTCCTACTCCTGGGCCGTCCTTGGCATGGCCCTCTTTGCCAAATTCGGGGACGAAATTCCGACCGCCATTCACCAAGAGCTGGTGGGATGGGCCTCTGTGGACAATTTCAACTCCTTTTGGAGTGCCTCAGTTACCTTATTCCAGGTCGCCACGACTTACGACTGGTACAGGATCATGTATTTGTGGATGCACCTGACGCGGACGCCGTGGGCCGCCATGTATTTTCTGGCCTTCCACCTGGTCGCAAACATTGTCGTGTACCAGCTGACAGCCGCCCTTTTCATCGATGCCTTTTTGTCTTTTCATGACAAACGGTGGGTGGAGCCGAAGGAGGAGGAGGAAAACACGGAGGCTCCTGCTCTCACCGAGGGGCTAGGCAATAGCCTTCCAAGCCGCAACGGGAAAGAAGAAGAGCGACGGTTTGACGCACCCCCCGGTGCGGGTGCAAGCTACGACGGCGAGGACAGTTACGAGGGTGGACAATCCTGGCATCAACCTACCACCGGCCCGAACCGCATGGGCCCCGTTCCCTCCCCGACGCCCGGGGACGATTTGGAGTTTCAGCGCCGGCGTCGGGCAGGTGGTGATATGGGAGGTGGAGGGCAATTTTTCCATGCCTCGGTGATATGAAATCCCTGATATTTTAAAATGGGGTCATCGGTAGGAGCAGTTTATCATGACACATGCGCGGAAGAAAGGATCTATTCGCATTTTTTGACCCCATGTGATCGATAATCGAAGTAAATGCATATTTCATTTAAGGAGGAACAACTCGAGCTATGTAAGGAACAATTCTAAAGGATCAATGTATGCAACCAATTATCGCGCAGTTGAGATCGAGCATTGAGGATGCCCTGCTGGTTTAGTTTCGAACGCTCAAGTTAAACATTCCGCTAATTTTTGTCGAGTCATCTCAAGCACCGTCTCAGAATTAATGTGGACATGCAAAATTCTCAAACAATTGCACAGTAGTCTCTGCTCACCATATCTGCCACCACGCTGAAAGGCATCCCTCACTGCGGCTCGGATTGCCTTAGATCAGCAACGACAAATATTTCGGGTCTCCCTCTTGTTGATGGAGACATTCACCTCTTCGATCTCGAAAATCGATTTAAGGAATTACCCAAGATCAAAACCGAGATTCATCTTTTATCTGTCGTCATAGTCTCATCGTCTGATCTTGAGGTTTCGGTCGATAGATACCACAGTGCAAAAAGTGTTCAATTTGAACACTTGTTTAGTAGGCGGTTGTGACGGCACGCAGCCATTTGGCCGCCCTTCAAGACCCAACCACCTGACGTTCTTCCTTTTCATGGCGACGACACGATTTTGAGGAAGTTTCTTGCATTTGGGAGTCTAAGGGCGCACATTATTTTATTTATTTTTGAGTGAATAGAACTGGAAAAGAAGGATTCGGATGTGGTTTATGGCCTACCGCGTTTTTAATTGAATCGATCCGCCAAATAATTGAAATATCCCCCGATTTCAGATTACGACAGAGGG